GAAAAATAAATTTTATTGTCTTAAACCTCTCGGTTACTGAGGGGTTGACTGTAGCAGTTAGCCTACCTTAATAATAACTTTCCTTCATGTTCTTTTGGGATTCATTTTGCCAGTTCTGGTCCTTACTTTAGGGTTTTCAGCCAGTTTATAAAAGTTCCTCAGATTCCTGTGGGAATTATAATAGGAGTTACATTGTATTTATGGATTAATTTGGAAATACTTTTTATCTTTAGAATTTTGAATATTATTATCACATGTCCATTTATTCAGGTCTTTTTATGCCCATTGATAAATTTTATTATTTTTCTTCTTTAAGGTATTATACAGCTTTTATTTGTTTCTAGTAGAATTTTTTTTAAATTTTTTTTAAATATATATTTTATTGATTTTGTACAGAGAGGAAGGGAGAGAGATAGAGAGTTAGAAACATCGATGAGAGAGAGTCATCGATCAGCTGCCTCTTGCACACTCCCTACTGGGGATATGCCCGCAACCACGGTACATGCCCTTGACCGGAATCGAACCCAGGACCCTTCAGTCCCCAAGCCGACGCTCTATCCATTGAGCCAGACTGGTCTCGGCTGTTTCTAGTAGAATTTATTGCTAATACTTTGGAATTTATTGCTACTGTGATAAATTAATTTTTCTGATTGAATTCTCTAATTTATTACTTTTACTTTAACAGATCATTATTGATTGATCTTATGTTCAACAAACTGCTGAAATTTTTCCTAGTTGTAGTAATTGTAGCTTCCCTTAAATTTTCTATGTAAATAACATATCATATTCAAATAATGAAATATTTACTTTTTCTTTCTTGATTCTTTTTATTTTTTTTAATGTTTTTATTGATTTTTAGAGAGGAAGGGAAAGTTTCTTTCCTGATTCTTATATCTTATTCATATTTTTTGTCTTGTGGCATTAAGACTTTATCCTTTAAAAGTTTGTAGTTTCAAAAGAAATTGAAGGTAAAAGTTTGTAGTTTTACTTTTTTATGTTTAACTCTTTAATTTACCTGGGCTTGACATTTTTATTCCTATATGCTAATAGGAAACTATAGATTTTGTATATTTATCTTAAATTATTTATCTTCTTGAACTCAGATTAATTTCAATAGAGTTTCAGTTTACTCAATATTATTTTCTAGCTAGACAATTGTATTATCTAAAAATAATATTTTGTATATATTTTTCTTTTAAAATATTTATACCTCATTTTTTTCTTTTTCCTATTTTATTTAATTGGCTATGATTTTTAGAAACATGATTGGTGTCTTTCTCTGCTATAAGGAAAAGATACTATAGACTGGGTAGCTTAAACAACCAAAATTTATTTCTTACAGTTCTGGAGGTCCAAGATCAAGGTGCCAGCTGATTTGGTTTCTGGTGAGAGCTCTCTATTTGGTTTATAGATGACTGCCTACTTGCTGTGTTCTCACATAGTAGGGAGAAAGAGTCCTGGTGTTTCTTTCTCTCTTTAGAAGGGTGCCAGTTCTATTGAAGTAGTTTGACCCTTACGATCTCATTTAAGCTTTAACATAAGCTGTATGTACAAATAAGGTCATGTTCGGGATTGGGTTTTGAGGACACTAACATTCAGTTCATAACTGCCAAGGGTTGTTTTAATTTTCTCTTTTTATTTATGTTAGATTTGAAATGTTTACCTTTTTATATATTCCTTGAATAAATTTTGTTTAGTTACTCTGAGAACAACAATTAGAACAATTGTGGTGAATTTTGTATTGAGTCATCATTCTTAGAGAAGCTAGAACTGTAACTTCAGAATTCTCTTCCCTGTATTGTTCTAACTTAGGGCTGGCCATAAGCATTAATCGAGATTTGGCAGAGAAAGTGAAGCACCTCTGAAGGGTACCAGGCACATAGTAGCAACTTGGCCCACAGTTTCTCTAAGACTTAGGTCAGACATGAGTTCAGCTCCATAGAGATTGGTAACATTTTGTTCTGAAGGTTATCCATGTTATTGACTTTAGAGTTGGTGAGATAATATAGGATTCAATTTGTCCTCATTAGTTCCACTTTGTCTTTAGGGTTTCAGTTTGTGTTTGCTCTTCCCTACTTCACATCAGTTCCTGAGTATAAGGCATTCTGACTTATAGCAATTTTAGGCTCACCTCTAGACACAGAGGCCAAAGTCTTCTATAAGCCTCGTTACCAACCGCACAAATATATAGTCTAATCTCGGTAATTAATCTTATACCATGTCAATCATAATGTTTCTGCTTTCCAGATCAAATTGTAGCTGATACAAAAGTATATATTCTATAGACTAATGAACGAAGTACAAACTCTTGCATGGCATACATGACCTTCAACCAGCTTTTCATCCAAAGCCTTGTTCCACCTTCCTTCATATCTATGGTTCCTTCATGTGAACAAAGTTACTACTTATCACATATGGTGTGCTGTCCCACCTTTCCCTAGAATGGCTGTCCCATTTTTTCTGCTTGTAAACACCACTTCATGCCAGAAAAAAACAGCTCAAATGTTGCTTCTTCAGTGACATCTTCCCCATCTGTGTCACATACATTTACCAGGTAATCACTCTCTTGTCCTCATGGCACTTAAAAAACTTTAATATAAAAACAGAACATTAACAGTACACTACAATTCCCTTATCCCATTTTTAGGCACTAAAACTCCAGCTTGAATTTGAACACACACTGGTTTAGCTGGATTTGGAGCTTTATATTAATGAAATCATACATTACTTTCTTTTGAATCTAGATTCTTTTCCTTAATATTATTTTACGTGATTCATAGTTGATGTTGAATAGGTGTAGTTCATTTGTTCCCATGGCTCTTCAGTAGTTCATATTTATCTATTCCACTGCTGCTGGTCACTGAGTTGTTTCCAGGTTTGGGACTATTTACCAAATAGTGCTGTTGTAAATGTACTGTAAACCAGCTTATTGCAGAAGCTGAATAAAGTTCTAAAAATGAAGTTCCAGATTGGAAACAAACGCCCAAACCCTTTTAAAACTATGCATGACTAAATTGGAACTGAAAAGAATGCATAAGAACAAGAACAAAGTAGAAAAAGCAGTAGATATAGTCTTCCTAGTTTGATTAAATTAGAAAAATTATTAAGTCTCTTTCACTTTGGTGTTCTGTTAAAAACTCAAGATTTAAAGCAAGAGTTGTTTGTTTTTGTTCGTTTGTTTTTCTGAGTTGACTGACTCCAGGCTCTGCTACTAAGGTGTGGGGCCTTGGGCAAATCAGTCTCCATTTCCTCACGGTAAACACCCTCGATTGTTTTTTGGAGCATGTGTTCTAAGCCTGGCAAAAACCCCGCCTTAGTCTTTACTACCTGACGGCACTTTCGCTTAATAATAACCTCGGAGTTATTATGCATCAGGAGCAAGAAATTAGATCCCAACTTAATAACTTAAGTCTGACCACACCAACACCCCTACGATAGACACCATCCCGTGCCCCTGACGCCGAAGCGGACGTGACCTTTTAGTCTGTTGCCGGGGCGGCGCGACAGAAAGGAGGGGTTTCCGCCCCGAAGCCTAACCGGAACAGGTGCGAGGCCGCCGGCCTTCCGTCGGGAAGAGGAGTCCGGAAGCGTCAAGTCGCGGAGACTACATTTCCCACAAGTCCTCGGGGCAGGCGTCAGGGACATTACCGGACAGGCCTTGCCAGGCTATACCCAGGTAAACGCCGGCACTGCGGCTCCGAGGGGAGAGTAATTACTGTAGGTTTGTACTAGTCGATCTGTATTAGTAAACCTCCTGACCCATCCCCAACTGACACAGACGACCTGGCGACTTTGGGCTTTCCGGGCCGCAGAACTCCAACCCCCCCCTTTCCCCACCCCCCGACCCACACCGGCCCCCCACGGCGCGCCTGGGAGCGGTTTCTGGAGACCTTAGGGCGCCGGGCTGTGCTCGGAAGGTGGCGGCCCGGGACCGGTCTGTGTAGACGTTCCTCCCTCGCCCCTCCCCACGCCCTGCGGCCTGTGAAACCGGGAAGGAGCCAGGCCGAGCTCGGCTTCCTGGGGCTCCGTGTTAGAGATGCGGGGGCGGTGGCGGTGCTCTCCCTCCCGGCCTGACTGGGAGCGGGTGACCTCCCTCCCTCCTTTCCCTGTTGCTGGGACCGACGTCCTTTTCTCTGGCGGCTAAAGCGGTAGCCGAGCACTGCGAAACGCCCCACCCAGCAGCCCCCAAATCTCCCACCCACCTTTGGGGTCGTGTAAAGGTTGCCACGGGAGAAGCTAAGTTAACTTGACCTAGGTCACAGAATTAAAAAACAAAAATGTTTTTATTGCTTTTGGAAAGAGAAAGGAAATGAGAGAGAGAAAAAGAGAGAGAGAGAGAGAGAGAGAGAGAGAGAGAGAGACAGATTGGCTGCCTCCTGCACGTCTTTTATCGGGGATGAAGCCCACGGCCCGGCCGTGTGCTCTCCCAGGAGTGGGTCCAGGGCCTGAGTGCACGGGACCACGCGCAACCAACTGAGCCACACCGGCCAGCGCTTCCTTGAGAGAATTTAAGGTTCGCACCGAGCCTCTCCCAATCTAAAGCTCTTTGTTTACGTCCCATCGCCTTCTTCTAACCTTAACCTAGCAGGGCAGGCGCTGATGCCCAGAGTCTTTTTTTTTTTTTTTTTTTTTTTTTTTTGGCCAGCGGCATCCACACGTGCTGCTGTGGGTCCAGGCCCAGCAACTCGCCTCCCGTGCTCCTGCGCTGGTGTGTCACACGGGTCTGGTCGGTTCCAAAGCCAACACCGGACCGCGTCCCCCGTCCGCCCATTTCCCTTCCGCCCCGCGGTCTGGCCCCGGAGGCCGCGGCCCGGGGCGGAGGGCGGAGTTGGCTGCGCGGCGGGCGGCCCAGCCAGTGGGCTCCCTGGGCGGGGCCGGGGGCGGCGCGGAGGCCGAGACCCCGCCGGGATGGGGGGTGCGGCTGCTGCGACCGGGCCCGGCGGGTGGGAGAAGGGCTCCGTGAGCGCCGGCGGCCCGAGCCCCTCCGCCTCCTGCAGGAGATGGTCTTCCTCCCGGTGAGTTCTTCTGTCTTCGCGGGCCGGCCTCTCGGCTCGGTCACGCCCCCGGGAAGAGGCCGGCGCGGGGCGGCCTCGGCCTGTGCGCCCGGATAGGGCAGGGGACCTGACCCGCTGGGCTCCGGGCCTCCTCCCCGTGGGCATGTTTGATCCGAGGCCGGCGCTCCTTGTTCTAGTTTCATGCAGGCTCCTGGGAAAGCTGGTGCTGCTGCTTTCTGATTCCAGCCCATAGACCTCGGGACCGGGACGGGCTCTGGCGGCTGGAGATGGCAGACACTAGATCCGTGCACGAAACCAGGTTTGAGGCGGCGGTGAAGGTGATCCAGAGCTTGCCAAAAAATGGTACGTGCACAGGGGCCCCGGTTGAAGAAACCTCCCGCAGGGACCTTTGAGGCCTCAGTTTATGAACCTCTCACCTCTTCTACTCTTGCTTATTTAACCTACTTTTCTGCTTTAAAAGGAATGTAACTAAAGGGAGGCATTATATGTGGATTAATTCCTTGCTGATTTTTCCAAGCCTGAGACAAATACGTTATCCAGGTTTTGAGTACTTTATATTGTTGTTGAAAACAAAAGTCTTGTTATTTAATGACTGCGGATTTTGGTATGTTAAAAAACTGGCATGGGATGCTTGGTGGCGCATACTCACAAAATCTAGTATTAAGCCTTTTGAAAACTTTGATACGAAGGGAAAGAAATGAAAGAACTCTGTTCATTTGCAAAACTATATATTGTAATAAATACATATATTTACTACTTATTTTTCTAATGTACTAGATTCTCCTTATTATACTCATATTAGACCTGGGAGAAAAGTAATTCATGTTGTTCTTTTGTATTTAATGTGTCATTTCTCTGGCTACTTTGAAGATTTTTCTCTTTACTTTTGATTTTCTGCAATTTGACTAGGATGTGTCTAGGTATGGTTTTCTTCATATTTCTTTTCTTTTTTTTAATAAATATTTTTATTGATTACAGATGGGAAGGAGAGGGAGAGAGAGAGAGAGAAACATCAATGATGAGACAGAATCATTGATTGGCTGCCTCTTGCGGTGAGACCTCCTACTGAGGATTGAGCCCACCACCCAGGCATGTGCCCTTGACTGGAATCGAACCAGGGACCTTTCAGTTAGCAGGCCAGTACTCTATCCACTGAGCCAAACCAGCTAGGGCTCTTCATATTTATTTTCTTTGGGGTTTGCAGTACTTTTTGAATTTATCAGTTTATGTCTTTGACCGATGTTGGGAAGGTTAAGGCCATTATTCAAATTTTCAGGTTTTTTTTTTTTTTTCTACTCTCACACCCCCCGTGGAGAAGCTTGGAGAGGGGGATTTTTATTTTTCCTTCCTATCTTCCTGCAGTATATCCTTCTGAAAAAAATAAACCTGTATTTTATTTTTTAAAAATATATTTTATTGATTTTCTTTTTTTTTTTTTTTATAGAGAGGAAGGGAGAGGAATAGAGAGTTAGAAACATCAATGAGAGAGAAACATCAATCAGCTGCCTCCTGCACACCCCCTAATTAGGATGTGCCAGCAACCAAGGTACATGCTCTTGACTGGAATCAAGCCTGGGACCTTTGAGTCCAAAGGCTGACACTCTATTCACTGAGCCAAACCAGTTAGGGCTAAACCTGTATTTTAAATGATGCTTTTAAGTACTATTATTGTGACAAAATGTCACAATAACTGAATACAACATTAATGTATGATTATAGTATTTAGTATGCTTTCTATTCTTATGAATCGTCATTTGGCTGCATATTGAACATTAAACACTATTCAATAAAAATTAAGAGAAGATTAAAAAAGTTTGGAAACAAATATACACAAGATAGTATTCTTCTTTTTAAAATATATTTTTATTGATTTCAGAGAGGAAAGGATAGGGAGAGAGTGATAGAAACACCAATAATGAGAACCATTGATTGGCTGCCTCCTGCACTTATTGAGTATGTGCCCTTGACCAGAATCAAATCCAGGACCCTTCAGTCTGCAGGCTTACTCTCTATTCATTGAGCTGAACTGGCTAGGGCTAGTATTCTTTTTGTAATGTCAACTATCAAATTGGAGGAGGAAATATGGGGTATTGAAAGAAGAGTGAGTGAACAAAATATAAAGAAATATTATAGGAACTTATTTAAGTATTGAAAGATATGATTCTCAGAGTTTTGTATAAGTTGTACCATCATCCTTTCTCTTAAACTACATGTTTTTTATATATTTTTAAAAATTAATAAAGCTAGACTTGATGTCTCTAGTCTACTACCTTTATTGACATTACATATTCCTTATTATTTTTTCTTTTATTTTTTCTTTACATGTCATTTATTAAGAAACCCATGTAAATGTAAATGAAGTTTCTGTTAAATAATATTTAAGAAGATATTGCAAAGTTAAGATTCTATGCCAAATGACACCTATGTTGGACAATGTTCAAAATACTGTTATTTTCTGAAAGTAAATTGATATTGAGAAAAAAGTATTATAATGAATTATTAAATATATTTACATTACTTTAAAATTGTTTGGTTTGCCCTGGATTGTTTTTCAAAGAATAGATCATGTATATACTCATACATATACATATTTATGTCCCATACTAGAGGCCCAATGCACAAAATTCATTCAAGAGTAGGCTTTCTTAAGCCTAACCAGTGGTCATGGACAACAGGGAGTTGGCATGCATGGGGAGGGGTTTGGGATGGGAATGGGGGGATGAGTACAAATATGTAATACCTTAATCAATAAAGAAACTTAAAAAAAACGATAGTAAAAAAAAAAAAAAGGAAAAACAAAAGAGATTTCAATCATTGTACTGTTGATATTTGGCTCTGTTGACTAATGAGTTTGCCGACCACTATGCTAGCTGGTTTGGCTCAGTGTACAAGCATTGGCCTCTGGACTGAAGGTCCCAGGTTTGATTCCAGTCAAGAGCTCATGCTCGGTTGTGGGATCCATCCCCAGTGGGAGGCATGCAGGAGGCAGCCAATCCATGATTCTCTCTCATCATTGATGTTTCTATCTCTCTCTCTCCCTTCCTCTCTGAAATCAATAAAAATGTTTTTTTTTTTGTTTGTTTTGTTTTGTTTTTTAATGAGTAGGTTTTTCGTCCCCCAGCTGCTGGTACCAGCTTCTTTCTGGTACCTGGGACCTGGGCTTCCCTCTGGCCACTGGCAGGCACTCGGGATCCAGGCTTCCCTCACAGTTTTGGCTTTATTCGGAGGGTTGTCTGGAAGGACGTCCAACCTAATCAGCATATTATGCTTTTATTATTATCTACACTAATAAAAGAGAAAGATGCAAATTGACCATATTTTTGAGATACCCACCAGCCAATCAGGAGCAAGTATGCAAATTAACCCATCTTTGTTGGCTTAGTTTGCATACCCAGGCACAAGCGGCCAGGAACGGGGCGGGACACAGGTGTACTGCACAGCTTCAGCCGCTCCGGGCCTCTGGCCAGCGTGGGAAGGCGGAAAGGCAGCTCCAGCCAGAGTGAAGGCGGTGCCAGCAGCCAGGGGAAGGAAGGCCCATTCTTGCATGAGTCTTTATGCTTCGGGCCTCTAGTAGATAATAAAAGCCTAACATGCTAAGTGTCTGGTTAGTGGTTCAACCAATAATGATATGCTAAGGCTGCTCAACAGCTTGCTGTGATGTGCACTGACTACCAGGGGGCAGACACTCCGGCTGGTAGGTGAGCTTGCTCATGGGGTCTGGCCAATCAGAACTGAGTGAGATAGGCTGGACATGCCCTGGAGCCCTCCATTGATCTCTCCAGGGCCCCAGTTGTGCACTGGTGGGGTCCCTCAGCCTGGCCTGTGCACTCTTGCAATCTAGGACCTCTTGGGAGATGTTAGAGAGCCGGTTTCAGCCCAATCCTGCAGGCCAGGCCAAGGAACCCCACTAGTGCACGAATTCATGTAAAGGCTAATATGCTAATTAGACCAGACATCTTCCCAATTTCTTTCTGGATTAAGCCATGGTGGCAGGGGCCTATGCAGAGGCAGTTAGGAGTGATAAGGCTGGCAGAGGGGAGCTGTTAGGGAGTTATCAGGCCAGTAGATGATTAGTGGTGATCAGGCAGGCAGGCAAATAGTTAAGAACCAGCAGTTCCAGATTGCAAGAGGGATGTCTGACTGCTGGGATTGGTTCTAAACTGGCAGTTGGACATCCCCTAAGGGGTCCTGGATTGGAGAGATTGCAGGCTGGGCTGAGTACCCTCCCCCCAATGCATGATTTCGTGCACTGGCCTCTAGTCCTATATAATCCTATATAATAAAAGGCTAATGTGCAAATTGACCAAATGGCAGAATGACCGGTCGCTATGATATGCATTGACCAACAGGGAGCAGATGCTCAATGCAGGATCTGCCCCTGGTGGTCAGTGTGCTCCCACAGGGGGAGCACTGCTGGCAAGTGCCATGGTGGTGGCAGGATCCTCTCCCACTTCAGCAGCAGCACTAAGGATGTCCAACTGACAGCTCAGCAGTCAGACATCCCCCAAGGGCTCCTGAACTCTGAGAGGGCACAGGCCAGGCTAAGGGACTGCCCCCAACCCAACTCAATGCACTGGGCCTCTAATATACATATATATATATTTATTGCTTTCGGAGAAGAAGGGAGAGGGAGAGAGAGAGAGAAATATCAATGATGAGAATGGGGATGGGGCCCAGAACTGGGCATGTGCCCTTGACTGGAATTGAACTTGGCACCCTTCAGTTGCAGGCTGATGCTCTATCCACTGTGCATAACTGGCCAGGGCATCAGATATATACATTACATAATAAAGAGGTGATATGCAAATTGACCCTCACACCCTCACAAGATGGCTGCCTATGACCAGGCTGGCAGAGATGTTAGTGAGGGATGACCAAACGACTGAACAGTAGGCTGCGTGGAACAACCAGGCCGTTGGGGTGGTTAGTGAGGGACGACCAAATGACTGAACAGCAGGCTATGTGGGGCAACCAGGTCCTTGGGGTGTCTGTGAGGGGTGACCAGGCTGGCAGGGGGGATTTTGGGGTGATCAGGCTGTCGGGGGGCAATTAGGGGCATCCAGGCAGATAGGCAGGTGAGTGATTAGAAGCCAGCAGTCTGGGATTGTGAGAGGGATGTCTGACTGCTGGTTTAGGCCTGATCTCCCAAGGGGGTTCTTGATTGGAGAGGGTGCAGGCTGGGCTGAGGACCTGATGCATGAAATTCATCACTGGGTGGGGGGGTCTCCTCAGCCCAGCTTGCGCCCTATCGAAGTACAGATCTCTCACTCCTTACTTCCTGCCTGCTCACTGCTCCTTACTGCTCAGATTGTTGTTCCTCAGTGCTGTGGTAAGGCAGGAGAGGCTCCTGCCACCACTGCTGTGCTCACCAGCTGTGAGCCCAGCTTTTGGCACTTCCCCTATGGGAGCACACTGACCATCAGGGGGCAGCGCCTGCGTTGAATCTTTGCCCCCTGGTGGTCACTGTGCATCATAGCAAATAGTTGTTGTGGTCATTCCACCATAATGATCGCTAGGCTTTTATTTTGTATATATATATATTTCTTTTTCAAAAAATCCTTACTGAGGATATGTTTTACAAATATATTATTTTATTATTTTTTTAGAGAGGGGGAAGTGAGGGAGAGTGAGAGAGAGAAACATTGGTGCATGTGAAAAACATCCATCAGCTGCTTCCTGTACTCACCCCCACCTGAATTGAACCTGCAACTCAGGCATGTGCCCTGACCAGGAATCCAAACCCACAACCCAGGAATGTGCCCTGACCAGGAATCGAACTGGCAACCTTGAGTGTACGGGAGTTTGCTCTAATCAACAGCCACACCAGCCAGGGTTTTTTTTTTTTTTTTTTTTTTTTTTCTTTTTGCTTTCCAGCCAAGGTGTTGTTTTTTCCTTTTTGCTTAATCTGTACTTAAGGCCTAAGGTTATAATCAATCCTATAACATCTATGTCTGATATTCTCTTGACCTTTGGAAATTTTAATTCTTAGATAATACTTTAAACACATATATCAAATTTATCATGTGTAAGAACCTTGGGGACAGAAATTATACTTTAATTCAATGTCTTACAGAACACCTTCATTATATGTTATCAGTTTTTGCTGTAACCTATGCTAATGTATATGTCAACCACCTTAACCGAAGACCTTTAAACTTTATTTGATTAACTTCCTGACGATATTATAAATTGATGTTTTTGATGTTTTAAATTTAGATCTGTGTACTTATTAGATAACAATTTCTAACTAGTTTTTTAAAAAAATTTTCCCTTTGCTATATAAAGAAGGACTTTTCATCGAAATAGTATATCTAATAGATACTCCTAAATGAGCATATATTATATAGATAATTATTATTGTGACTTTGGAATTAATTATTCACTCTTGGCCAAATCTGATACACCAACTCTCATCTTGTCTCTCATAATTTTCAAATTCATATACTACTAGATTTCGATTACTACATGTTTATTATCTCTCTCTATATATAAAAGCCCAGCAACTAAACAGAACAACTGATCAACCAGTCGCTATGATGTGCACTGAGCACCAGGGGGCAGATGCTCAATACAGGAGCTGCCCCTGTGATCAGTGCACTTCCACAGTGGGCAATATCTGTAGGCCACATCCCCACAGTGCACGAATCTGTGCACCGGGCCTCTAGTGTAATCTATAAAGTTTTTTGTGTGTTTTTTTTGTTAATCACATGAGAATATTTTTTCCATTGTTTTTTAGAGAGAGTGGAATGGAGGGAGGGAGGGAGGGAGAGAAAGAGAAAGAGGAAGGGAAGGAGAGAGAGAAAGAGAAACATCCATGTGAGAAAGACACATTGATTGGTTGCCTCCCGAACACTCTTCAACCTGGGCTGGGTATCAAACCTTCAACCCAGGTACCTGCACTTGACTGAGAATCAAACCCAGGACCCTTCAGTGTATGGGTCGATGTTCTAACCACTGAGTACACCAACCAAGATAATAAAGTTTTTAAAATATAAAAATTTTATAGTTTTAATATTTATATTTATAATTTTTGATATAAAAGTAATATATACTGACAGTAAATATTTTAAAAACACAAACAAGCAAAAAAAATCCAAAAATGTAAAAATAACCAGTATGCCTACTATCCAGAGATCTTTTAACTATGTTTTCTTTTATTATACTTTAAAAACAACAACAACAACAACAAAAATATATATATGTTGATTTCTAAGAAGAAGGAAGAGGGAGAGAGAGATAAAAACATGAATGATGAAAGAGAATTACTAATCACTGCTTCCTGCATTTTCCATACTGAGGATTGAACCCACAACCTGGGCATGTGCTTTTGACTGGAATCAAACCTTGGGACCCTTCAGTCCATAGGCTGACGCTGTATCCACTGAGCCAAACCCAGCTAGGGCTGATTTACTTTTTATTTTACTTATTTTTATTATTATTATTATTATTTTTTTAAAAAAATCTTTTTTATTTTTTTTTTGTTTTTATTTTTATTTTTATTGATTTTGTACAGAGAGGCAGGGAGAGAGATAGAGAGCTAGAAACATCGATGAGAGAGAGTCATCGATCAGCTGCCTCTTGCACACCCCCCACTGGGGATATGCCCGCAACCAAGGTACATGCCCTTAACCGGAATCGAACCCAGGACCCTTCCGTCCCCAAGCCGACGCTCTATCCATTGAGCCAAACCGGTCTCGGCTGATTTACTTTTTAAATAATCATTCAGGTTACTGGGTATAACACATAATGAAAGGAAGGCAAGAATAGGATCAACCAGCAGGGAAGGTATTGTAGTCCAGACAGGATATGGCAATTGCTTGGACTTTAGTAGTAGGGTGAGGAATTGAGAGAAGTTCCCTTCCCCCGCTCTCTGATGTTATTTTACTAATTTATGCATTTATTGGTTGCTTCTTGTATGTGCCCTGACTGGGGATAGAACCTGTAACATTGGCGTATTGGACCAATGCTCTAACCAATGTTCTGCCTAGCCAGAGCTGTTTTTTAATTTATTGAACTGTGTTAGGCATTGTTATTAAAGTGTAGTCTCAGAGTTTTTAAAATTGTAAGAGTAAAGCAACTAGCAGAGCCATAACTTTTCTTTTTGTAGGATAGAAGTAATTATTTGAACTATTAATGAACTATTAAAAATCACAATATATATAGCTCAGTGACTTTGTAGCCTTAAATTATCAATTGTATTCTCTAAGTGATATTTATTTGTTTATTTATTTATTTATATATATTTTTTCAAGTGACGTTTATTTAATGTTATTTTCCCAAAAGGTTCATTCCAGCCAACAAATGAAATGATGCTCAAGTTCTATAGCTTCTATAAGCAGGCAACTGAAGGCCCCTGTAAACTTTCAAGACCTGGATTTTGGGATCCTATTGGAAGATATAAATGGTAATTTTACATAGAAATCTGTGAAGGAAATTTTATTGTTATGATAGTTATTTATGTGGTTATATATTATCCTGTGCATAAAATGTCTAGGTATAGGATACAATTTTTATCATTCTTGTACTCTTAACACAATTTCACACAAATAAGAATATCTTGAGGAAGAGAGGAAAACAATAAAACCACAAGCTGTAGATACACTGAAGATAATAAAGAATTTTCAGTTTGTCTTTCCTTTTCTGGAGTTTTTTTCTTATTATGCTAAGAGCAACTCCTATACAAAGTTAAAGGAGCACTTTCCTGCCTGTTTGACCTGACATGAAACCTAGTGACTTGTAAAGTGACATTGCTTTGAGCCTTTAAGATAAAAACTAACTAGGAACATGACTCACGTACTGTCTACTAACATTTTATCTAAGACGTCACTCTTGTCCCACTGTCTATCTATATAAAAGCCTAAGTGACTGTCACAACAGACAACTGAACAGGCTGCATGGGGTGACCAGGCTGGCAGGTGGATTAGTGAGGGGTGACCAAACGACCGAGCAGCAGGCTGTGTGGGGCAACCAGGCCGGCAGGGGGGGCAGTGAGGGGCGACCAAATGACTGAACAGCAGGCTGCGAGGGGCAACCAGGTCGGCAGGAGGGTTAGTGTGGGGTGACCAAACAACCGAACAGGAGGCTGCGTGAGGCAACCAGGATGGCAGGGGGGGCGGTGAGGGGCAACCAGATGACTGAACAGCATGCTGCATGAGGCAACCAGGTCAGCAGTGGGGAGGCAGTTGAAGGTGATCAGGCCAGCCGGCAGAAGCAGTTAGGGGTAGGGGAGCAGTGAGGTACAAGCAGGCTGATAGGCAGAGGTGGTTAGGGGTGATCAGGCTGGCAGGGGGCAGTTAGGAGCCAGCAGTCCAGGATTGTGAGAAGGATGTCTGACTGCTGGTTTAGGCTCAAACCCTGGGATCAAGCCTAAACCAGCAGTCAGACATCCCCTGAGGGGTCCTAGATTGGAGAGGGTGCAGGCTGGACTGTGAGAATCCGCCTCACCTCCCCCACATACACGAATTTCATGCACTGGGCCTCTAGTCTATATAATAAAAGCCTAAGCAATCGTTACGCTGGAACAACCAGAATGACCAGTCATTATAATGCGTACTGACTACCAGGGGGCAGACGCACAACACAGTGGTCAGTACATTCCTACAGGGGGAGCCCCGCTCAGCCAGAAGGTGGGCTCACTGCTGGTGAGTGTAGTGGTGGTGATGGGAGCCTCCCCTGCCTCTGCAGCAGGGTGCAGACTGGGCTGAGGAACCCCTCTCCCCAGTGCATTAATTTCATGCACTGGGCTTCTTGTACTTGAATAAAAATTTGATTTATAAAGAAATTTATTGATTTTGTTTTAGAGAGAGAGGAAGGATGAGAGAGAGTCGGAAATAAACATTGACTTGTTGTTCTTCTATTTATGCATTTATTGGCTGCTGCTTGTATAGAGATTGAACCCCAACTTTGGTGTATTGGGACAGTGCTCTAAACAACTGAGCTAAGTGGCCAGGGCTAATATTTGATTTTTAATATATTTAAAAGAATAGTAAAATGTGCAAAGTCGCCTTGGTTGGGTAGCTCAGTTGGTTAGAGCATCATCCTGATATGCCAAGGTTGCGGGTTCAAACCCTGGTTAGAGCACATACGAGACTCAACCAATGAATGCAAAAATAAATGAAACAACAAATGGATGTTTCTCTCTCTCAAATCATTCAATAATAAAAAAGAAAAGAGAAAAATCCAAAGATAGCTTTGCCATTTTAAAAAATATATATATTTTTATTGATTTCAGAGAAAGGAAGGGCGAGGGAATAGAGAGATAGAAATACTGATGAGAGAGAAACATCATTGATCAGCTGCCTCCTGCATGCCTCCCACCAGGGACGGAGCCCACACCCTGGTATGTATCCTGATGGAATTGAACCAGTGACATCCTGGTTCCTGGGTTGACTTTCAACCATTGAGCAACACTGGTCAGGCAACATTTTAAAAAATATATATATTTTATTGGTTTTTACAGAGAGGAAGGGAGAGAGAGAGAGAGCTAGAAACATCGATGAGAGAGAAAAATCAACCAGCTGCCTCCTGCACGCCCCCTACTGGGGATGTGTCCACAACCAACGTACATGCCCCTGACTGGAATTAAACCCAGGACCTTTCAGTCCGCAGACTGAAGTTCTACCACTGAGCCAAACCGGTTTCGGCCAGGCAGCATTTAAAAAAATATATATATATATATATTTTTTATTGATTTCAGAGAAGAAGGGAAAGGAAGAGTGAGAGAGAAATATCAATGATGAGAGGGAATCATTGATTGGCTGCCTCCTGCATGCCCCCTATGGAGACCAAGCCTGCAACCCGAGCATGTGCCCTTCTTGCCCTGAATTGAACTCGGTACCCTTGAGTTCGCAGGCAAATGCTCTATCCACTGAGCCAAACCGGCCGGGGCGGTCAGGCAACATTTTATGTTTTAAGTACTCCTGAAGACTTTACCAATATCTAACAAAATGTCTAATTAGACTGTTCATTATGAACAGAGCATACTAATTGGTGAAGTATGTCTTAAGAGCCACACATTTTGAAGGCTAAATTTATTCTTTTTGAATTGTAAGTCCTTAAATTCCTTTGAAGATTTCTTAGTTCTCTACTTTTCTCTGAGAGCTTTATGAATAGTCATAAAATAATAGGTTAAGCCCAGCTGGTGTGGCTCAGTGGTTGAGCATCTACCTATGAACTGAACAACAAGATTACAGTTAGATTCCAGTCAGCAACATGCCTGGGTTGTGGACACCCAGTTGGGGGTGTGCAGGAGGCAGCTGATCAATGATTCTCCCTTATCATTGATGTTTCTATCTCTCCTTCTGTCTTCCTCTCTGAAATCAATTAAAAATCTATGAAAATAATAATAATAGGTTAAGTAAAATGGCAACATATTTAATCTTTTTAAGAAAATACATTTTATTGATTTTTTACAAAGAGGAAGGGAGAGGGATAGAGAGTTAGAAACATCGATGAGAGAGAATCATCGTTCAACTGCCTCCTGCACACCTCCCACATGTCCTTGACAGGAATCGAGCCCAGGACCTTTCAGTCCCCAGGCCAACGCTCTATCCACTGAGCCAAACCGGTTTTGGCTATTTAATCTTTTTAAAGAAAATTTATTTAGCATTTTTTCCTCAGAATTGACTTTTGGTAGCGTTAAGTTGCTTCCAGAAAAATTACATAAAAAGAGAGGTGTTTGCCCTAGCTGGTTTGACTCAGTTGATAGAGCATCGGCCCAGGGTCGCAGATTCAATTTTGGTCAAAGGCATATATATATGTTGCAAGCTTGATCCCCAGCCCTAGTTGCAGTGCCTGCAGGAGGCAATCAAACGATGTCTCTCTCTCATCAATGTTTCTCTCTTTCCCCCTCCCTCCCACACTCTCTAAAATCAATGGAAAAAATATCCTCAGGTGAGGATTAACAAAACAAACAAAAAATAGAAGAGAGGTTTTCATTTTAGGCAAAAGTTTTAAAGGACTATTCTCATTATCTAGGGGTTTAAAATGTTCCTTTTTAGGAAATCATTGCCATTTTTCAAATGTGTAAAGTTAGACTTTTATTTAAATTAATGGACACTTTAAACCAAAATTTTGTTGAAAACATAGCTGTGACAGTTTATGTAGAGGCTTCTTAAATATTTATTTCTCTCATTGTTCTTTATAATGATATAAAAACTTCTACAGCAAATATTTGTGAATAGTCTATAATCTGTATAGTAAAGCATCTATAATCTATAGTCTATAGGTGAGTTTTATTCTTACTAATTTTCAATACTGTTTAATTTATCAGTTTATTCACTGTGATATTTTTATTCAAGGTGCATTTAAAGAGATTCTTTAGGAATATAACATGGCTTTAAGTAGAGCTTATTTTAAACTTATGACCCTATATTATTAACTATAAATTATATTCTGAGCAATTGAAAATCAGGTGTCTTTCAAACACCTCTCTTTTCAAACTGGCAGTTACAAAATAGTTGTGGAGATGTAAAGTACAGCATAGGGAATATAGTCAATAATATTATAATAACTGCATATGGTGTCAAATGGGTACTAGGTTTATCGGGGTGATAACTTTGCAAATTATATAAATGTCTAATCAGTGTCCACTTCAGCTGCACATACTAGTATACTAAAATATAAATGTCTACTTACTGGGTTATTTACCTGAAACTAATATAATGTACATCAATGAAATAGAAAAATTGAAAATTATTTAAAGAAAAAACAGGTGTCTTTTTGTTATGTGAATATTTTCAATTTTAGGGATGCTTGGAGTTCATTGGGTGATATGACCAAAGAGGAAGCTATGATTGCATATGTTGAAGAAATGAAAAAGGTAGGGAAAACAATTCATAGGAGAAAATAAAAACATCTAGAATCACTCTAATTTTTTGTTACTAGGAAAATTAGCTGCTTTGTTTTAATGAACAAGGAGATTATAATCTGTTAGAATATAGAATCTAGATTATTGAATTTATTAGAGCTTTATCTGTCTAAGTTCATCAACGTTCATCTTAAGTGTTTTTGCTTAGATATGTCACATTGGATTGACATCATATTTTGTTCTTTTGTGTGTTTTTTCCTTTTCCTTGTCTTCCTTGATAGTTCACTTTTGCAGAAAGTGTATAAATATGAATATTTCAAAATATTGATGTCCCTTAGAGTCAGAAGTACCTAGACTGTCTTCACAAGGCTTCCTCACAACGAACGGTCTTATACACCGTTTGACTCATAAATTACCATCACTATTTCTCAGTAACAAGCGTTTTTTTTTTTTTTTTTTTGTCAATGCAAAGATCCTTTGAAGCAGAATAAGGATGCATTTAGTTTCTCTGATAACTACTAAAATGTGCATTCCTTTTAATAAACAAAATAAACTGATGAACAAAATAGATCCAGAGACATAGAAGCATGGGCAAACTGTGGAACTCAAGGAACGCAAGGGTGGGTAAAGAGAGATCAACCAAAGAATTTGTATGTATATATGCATAATCCATGGACACAGACAGTAGGGTGGTTAAGGCCTGAGAGGGATGGAGGCAGGCTAGAGGGCTAATGGGAGAAAAAAAGAGGACATATATAGTACTTTCAACAATAAAAGTTTTTTAAAAACGCATTCCTTATTAACTAGGTCTTTAAGTCTGTTCAAGGCATTGTTTAGAGGGGCAAATTTATGAAGAAATCTTAGATTTAAAAATGAACTTGATGCCTTTTTATAAAAGATCATTTTTATCTTAGAGATGGATCAAAAGTTAAAAATTTAGGTGTGTTTATAATCTTAAGCAAATGATCCTTAAACATAAAATCTATAAAAAAAAGAATAGGTTTCTTTTGCCAGGCGGTTTAACAGTATTAATTTAAGTAGTAATTTCATTTTGGTAGATTCAAACTAGTTTTTTGGGTTTGTTTTGTTTTAATCATATCTACACTGCTCAAATTGTGCCCTTTGTTACATTTCCAAAAGTTTTTTTTAGCGACTTTGTTTTTTAACAGAGAGCAGAGTTTAGTTTTTCTCGCTAACTGTATCAGTATCACAATAACAAAGGAGCCTTTCAAAATCAGAGAGAGAAAGAGAATCTAAAGCTTTTTTGGTTTGATAACTATTCCTTTTCTTTACCTTAAATACCATTATAAATTTTAGGGTACACCTTAGTTAATTGACACATTTAAGAAAATTTACTCATTTTTCCTTTTGAATTTTATTAATACATGATGTAGCCACATTTTTGGGGGGGGAGGGGCGTGGAGAGCATGGTGAAACAATGTGTATTCTGCTTTTTCCCCCAGAAAGATTAAAACTATACTGCTGCCTTTTAGCTATTTTAAAATGCCCCCACCGTGCCTGTAAAATTTTGTAACTACTTCTCTAATTAAGCTATCTTTACTGAGACTTTAAAATTTTCATTTCATACTGTGAATGTAATAAAGTTCTTAGAAAACTTTTAGAGGCAAATTAAAACATTTTAAAGATATACATAGGTTGAAAATTTGATTACTAGTGTATTCATTTATTTTCAGATGTTAACTTTGTGGACATCAGTAGATAAAATTACATGTTCCAAATAATCATGTGGAAATAGTACATTATCCCAAAGATTTCATAACTGAATTTGGGACTTTCATTATATTTTATTTATTTAAAAATACATCTTTATTGATTTCAGTGAGGAAGGGAGAAGGAGAGAGAGATAGAAACATCAATGATGGGAGAAAATCATTGATCAGCTGCCTCCTGCACATCCCCTACTGGGGCTGTAGCCTGAAACTGGGCATGTACCCTTGACAGAATCTAACCCAGGACCCTTTAGTCTGCAGGCTGACACACTATCCACTGAGCCAAACCAGCTAGGGCAGGACTTTTTCTGATAGCAATAATTTACTTAACTGAAGCAGTCATTGAGTTATGTTTTTAAATATAGTTGACAAATCACTGTACTATTGCTCTTTAGAATTATTCTTTTAATATAAATCTTATTCCATGCTTTTGCATTTAAGGTTTTAAGGAGCCTTATTAATTTTATTTATATATTATAATTGATAATGTTTTTAAAAAAATATATTTTGATTTTTTACAGAGAGGAAGAGAGATAGTTAGAAACATTGATGAGAGAGAAACATTGATAGATAATGTTTTATGAAAATTATGCTTTTCATGATTTATAAACTGTTTTATAACAAATACCACCAAAAAGGTTGTGGGAATAAAAAATTCTACCTAATAAAAGAGTAGTATGCAAATTAACCACCACTCTGCTACACTCACAAACCACACCCACCAGCCATGCCCCACCAGCCAATCAGAGCAAGTATGCAAATAAATAACCCTTCTGCTACAGCCACAGAGAGCAGGAGCAAGGCATGGGTTTCCCTGGCAATGGAAGAAGCCAAGCTTTCTGCCTGCCCTGGTCAGCCTAAGCCTCCATTCAAGGCTACAAAGTTTCAATTATGTTAAGTTAAATCCAAACAGAAATGGTGGCAGCCACAGAGCAAGCAGAAGGCTTGGCTCTGCTCCAGGCTACAAAGTTTCAATTGTAGAAGGTAAATAAATTCTAGCTACCACGGTCTTCACTTGGGTCACCAGGGAGTGTAGCTGGCCCGCAAACCCCCCCTCACTCAGGCTGCCCCATGCCCCAAGGGAACTCCCATCCTGATCTGGGACACCCTTCAGGGCAAACCAGTTGGCTCTCACCCATGCACCAGGCCTCTATCCTGTCTAATAAAAGAGTAATTGCAGATTGACCAACACACAATATGGCTGCTCCCATGTGGTCAAAGATCCTGCCTCCAAGTGGACACAAGATGGCCACCACAAGATGGCCAGCAGGGGAGGGCAGTTGGGAGTAACCAGGCCTGCAAGGGAGGGCAGTTAGAGAGACCAGGCCTGCAAGAGATGGCAGTTGGAGGCAATCAACCCTGCATGGGAGGGCAGTTAGGGGTGACCAGGCTGGCATAGGAGGGAAGTTGGGGCAAACAGACTGGCAGGAAAATAGTTAGACATCAATTAGGCTGGCAGGCAGAAGCGGTTAGGGGCAATCAGGAAGGCAGGCAGGTAAGCAGTTGGGAGCCAGCAGTCCTGGATTGCGAGAGGGATCCCAGTTTGGAGAGGGTGCAGGCTGGGCTGAGGGACATGCCCCCCCCTCCGTGCACAAATTTCACACAGGCCTCTAGTTTTATAATAATTTAATAGGATTTTAGCTTCGAGGGAATAGAATAATGTGGTTTGAAATAAATCTATGTTTTTATATATAGTTCATTTTGATTTATAATAAAAAAGAAATATAAAATTTTGTTTTCTGTACAGTTTTACAGGCTGCATTGTTTCCAGAAAATCAGCCAGTATTTGAATAACTTGCATTATGTCTGTTGAGTTTAAATATAGATCAGTGTATGTTAGCCCCCCATTAACCACAGGGCATATGTTCCGAGACCCCTAGTTGATGCCTAAAATCAAGGATAATACTGAAACCTGTATGTACTGTATTCTTTTTTTATGTACATTCAGACCTTTTCACTTAAAGTAGGGTGGGGAACCTTTTTTCTGCCAAGGGTCATTTGGATATTAACATCATTCATGAGTCACAAAAGATTATCAACTTAAAAATTAGCCTGCTATATTTGTTCAAACATTTAATTAAGTCATCCCTAATACCTTGGTAGGTCCAGATCAAATGATTTCGTGGGACATATGGCCTGGGGGTTGGACATTCCCCACACCTGACTTAAAGGAAGCACATTATGCCTTTTCTTTGACATTGCCATCAATCACCAATTGATAACTATTTATTTGAATGCCTTTTTAGTTCATATACCTTGCTGTTTAAATTTGATGATTCTAAATTGGCCCACGGTTGTAAAGGTGCCTCAAAGTGGTTATTTCCTACTTTACTTTTGTGCCCTATTAAAAATAATACCATAGAACTCTAGCCGGTTTGGCTCAGTGGATAGAGTGTGGGCCTGCCTACTGAAGGGTCCTGGGTTTGATTACAGTCAAGGACACATGCCCAGGTTGTGGGCTCAATCCCAGTAGGGGGTGTGCAGGAGAGCCAGCCAATCAGTCATTTTCATCATTGATGTTTCTTTCTCTTTTCCCTCTCTCTTCCTTTCTGAAATCAATAAAAATATATATTTAAAAAAATAATACCGTAGAGTGAAAGAACATACAGTTTATACTAATCCACAGCTTTCTATTTTATTTACCATTGGTGACCTTAGTTTTTAATGCACAATATATAAATTGTATAAAATTTTACATGAAACTTAGTTTTCAAAATGAGAACTATTTTTGTTATTGTTGATCCTTTGTTGATGATATATTTTCATTGATTTTTAGGGAGGGTGGAAGAGAGAGGGAAAGACAAAGAGAAACATCTATGTGAGAGAACACATCAATTGGTTGCTTCCTGCATGAGCCCTGACCAGGGCCTGGGCAGGGGAGGAGCCTGCAAGCAAGGTATATGCCCTTGACAGGAATCGAACCTGGGACCTTTCAGTCTGCAGACCGATGCTCTATCCACTGAGCCAAACCAGTTTTGGCAAAATGAGAACATTTTTAAGTTTTTAATATATTTGAAACTTTTCTAGGAGGTTATATACAATAAGTATGTAATTAATATAGATACTTTGGGAGTCTATAAATGAACCTCATATATCAAAATTATCAAAATATTGTATTATTGGTTAGTAATTTAGATCAGCTTAAATAATTTGTGATTTCACAAGATTTGTTTCTTTTGATTACAGATTCTTGAAACAATGCCAATGACTGAGAAAGTTGAAGAATTGCTACATGTCATAGGTCCATTTTATGAAATTGTAGAGGACAAAAAAAGTGGCAGAAGTTCTGATTTAACTTCAGGTTGGACTATTTTACCGCATTTTTAACTCAGCAACTAATACATTATGTTACATTAATACTTATATGTGTAAATTTTTTTTTATTCTCACATGCCAGTCCGACTGGAGAAAATCTCTAAATACTTAGAAGGTAGGAATAGTGAAATCCATGTAAAATTTTGTTTAAAATTTACATATCAATGAATTCTGCACAAATTCATATAAATTATAAGATTGTCACTCAAGAGTTTTAATCCAAGCAAATAAACTGCATAAAGTTCTACAATATACCTAGGGGGGTGTGGCTTGATAGTTAAACGTTGACCTATGAACTAGGAGGTCATGGTTTGATTCTCAACCAGGGCATGTCCCCAACTGTGGGCTTGATGGGGGTGTACAGAAGGCAACTGATCAGTGATTTTCTCTCATCACTGATGTTTCTCTCTCTCTCCCCCTCTCTGAAATCAATAAAATATACTAAAAATATTATAAAATCTTAAGTTTTAACTCTTAAGGTATTGAAACATGATAAGTAGTTCACTTAGTATGTATAAAATTGTAACAGAATTCATAGTTTGTTTTTTTAAATATATTTTATTGCTTTTCTACAGAGAGGAATTGAGAGGGATAGAGAGCCAGAAACGTCGATGAGAGAGAAACATTGATCAGCTGCCTCCTGCATCCCCCCCCCCCCCCCCGGGGATGTGCCGGCAACCAAGATTCGTGCCCCTGACTGGAATCGAACCCAGGACCCTTCAATTTGCAGGCAGACACTGTATCCACTGAGCCAAACCAGTTTGGGCCAGAATTCATAGTTTTATTTTGATGGATTATATTTTCTATTTTGCTTTATATATTATTATCAATATGGCTGAAATAATTTTTAGCTAATTTTAAAATACTGTATTTACTTTAAAGTGTTAGGTTTTTTTTTTTTTTTTTTCTAATCCTCACCTGAGAATATGTTTTTATTGATTTTATTTATTTTAAAAATCATTATTATTTAAATATGTTTTTATTCATCTTCTTAGAGAGGGAGGCAGGGAGAGAAAGGAGAAACATTGATAGCTGCCTCCTTCATACCCCTTGCTGGGGATCAAGCCCACAGGCCTGGCATGTGCCTTGATCAAGAATTGAATCCACAGCCTTTTGATGTACGGGATGCTGCTCCAGCCAAATGTGCCGCACAGCCAGGGCAAGTGCTTGGTTTACTGCAGCCTAGCAAGCTAGAGTAAGGCATCGGGGAATTCACTTAGCTTGTGTTTTATTTATTCTTTTTTAAAATTTTTTATTAATTTCAGAAAGGAAGGGAGAGGAGGAGTTAGAAATATCAATAATAATTTATTTTTTATATTTATTATTGATTGACTTTATTTATTTTAGATATATATATATCTTCTTAAATCTTTATTATTGAAAATATTATATAAGTCTCCTTTTTTTTCTGGCCAGGGTCTGTGTCTTTTTGTGTACTCCATAAATAATTGAAACTTGTGTATCTTATATATTAGCAGGAGTTGAATATGCACATTTGCTGGCATTAATTTTAAACATTTGATCTTGAAATTTTATTAGAAAGTAGAGTGAAATGAACCAGTAAGAGTCAATTTAAATGGAAATTTTATGTTTTAATATATATGGTGCCCTAGCTGGTTTGGCTCGAAGGATAGAGCGTCAGCCTGTGGACTGAAGGGTCCCAGGTTCGATTCTGGTCAAGGGCACATGCCTGGGTCGCAGGCTCAATCCCTAGTAGGGAGTGTGCAGGAGGCAGCCAATCAGTGATTCTCCCTCATCATTGATGTTTCTCTCTCTCTCCCTCTGAAATCAATTATATATACATATACATATACACATACATATACATATACACATACATATACATACACATACACACACACACACACATATATGGTATCCTTTTTATCGTCATTCCTATTTATAAGGCATCTTTACTAATTGATGGCAATTACAGTGTTTCAGGACAGTAATCATCATAAGGCCTGCAGTTTGTGTCTGCCATAACTGATATAGATATAGATATAGATATATGTGTAAATTTATAGAAAGAATAGATATAGACATAGATATAGATAGAAGCTTAAGCAACCAAATGACCAAATGACTGGTCATTTGGTCAAATGGGCATTACTCTGTACCATACCTTCTATATCTGCTTTATTCAATTCAGAAAGAATATTAAGTGTTTTTCTCTGAAGCATGTTTTTAGGGTGCAGATGGGCATAAATCTGGACCTGCTTTAGTACTGTCCAGCCTATTGGCCAGAGGCAGATGCTTATTTATTTTTTCAGAGATAGATATTTAAACAACTAATTATAAAAATAAGGAAGAGTGAATAATAATAATAGTGGTTCAGTTGTACAATTCCTTAGTTTTAATTTAAAAATTATAAAAGCTTGATAAACTCACTAGAGGCTTGGAGCATGTATTTGTGCACTAGTGGGGTCCCTCAGCATGGCCTACCTGGATCCGGCAGAACTGGCAGTCCAACACCGCCTCCCATTCCTGCCTGCTGATTCTGCTCATTTCAGCCCTGCTGCACCTGCCACTGGCTCGTGTCCAATCAGTTTCAATCGGGAAAGGCTCGTGCTGCTGCAGCTGTTCTCGCCAGTCGTGAGCCCCGCGTTTGGCACCCGTTGGTCAGCTGAGCAGTGCTCCCACTGAGGGAGCACACTAACCAAGAGGGGACAGCTCCTGCATTGAGCCTGGTGGTCAGTGCACATCACAGCCACCAGTCATTTGGTCATTTGGTTGCGTAAGCTTCTATCTATATCTATATCTATATCTATATCTATATCTATATCTATATCTATATCTATATCTATATCTATCTATATCTCTATAATTTGACATATATATAAACTTGTCCTGACATGAACTAATTGAGGGACAAACCCTAACTTAAAATTACGTGAAGCTATTTGAAATCTTTAGTTAGTCTATCTAGAACTATTCATATGTTTTGCTGGAAAAAAATCTTAGGTTTAAAAAAATATTTTTTCATTGAATTTTAGAGGGAGAGAGAGAAGCATCAATGTGAGAGTGGAACATTGATGAGCTGCCTTCTACACACCTCCTACTGGGGATGGAGCCCTTCCACCTACCCTGAGGCATGTACCCTGACTGGTAATCTAACCGGTACCCTTCCAGCATACAGGATGATGCCTAGCCAACTGATCCACACTGGCCAAGGCTTAGTTTAAAAAAAAAATTTTTTTTAATGAGAGCTGCCTACATTCTGTTGTGTTATGTAATATACAGTATATATAGTGTATTACCTTTACAAAGTTAGAATACTCTGTATTTTGAATCATATCTGAGTCTAGGGGTGGTAAGACATTGAACATAATTCATACCATTCTAATGTACATTTAGATTGTTTTCTCTTCTGATCTTCAAATGCTACTGAACTTGACGATGTTCAAATGTCATTCTATATATGTGGAAGTATAAAATAAGAAATGGTATTTAAAATATAATTGCTGGATCAAAAAATATGGGTGTTTGTTGGATGTTTACAATTTTGTAAAATATTGCCACATTGCAGGACAGTTTTCCTTTTGACTTTTTTCTTGTTGCTGTTACTGATCCTTACCCAAGGATAATTTTCCATTAATTTTTAGAGAGAGTGGAAGAGAGAGGGGAAGACAAAGAGAAACATCATTGTGAGAGAAACACATTGATTGGTTGTCTCCTACAAGAGCCCTGACCAAGGCTCAGGCAGGGGAGGAGCCTTGCAACTAAGATATATGTCCTTGACCAGAATTGAACCTGGGAACCTTTGGTCCAAAGCTCTATAATTATATATCCGAACCTGTTTCCTTCAGAATTATTCTATTATTTGTAAAATAGAGGCCCAATCCATGACATTTGTGCAAAGGGGGGGAAGGTCCCTCAGCCCAGCCTGTGCCCTTTCACAGTCTGGGACTCTTGAAGGGTCCTTAGTGCTGCTGTGGAGGCAGGAGATGCTCCTGCTGCTGCGCATGCCAATCATGAATCTGCCTTCTGGCTGAGCAGTGCTCCCCCTGTGGGAGTGCACTGACTTCCAGAGGGCAGCTGCTGCGTTGAGCATCTGACCCTGGTAGTCAGTGTGCATCATAGACCGGTCATTCCTATATTCAGTCGATTTGCATATTAGCCTTTTATTATATAGGATCACAGCCTTATTGTATGTTATATGGTTAGAGATTAAATGGTCATTTTTATATTTTAGATCTTGGTAATGTTCTAACTTCTCCTCCAAATGCCAAAACTGTTAATGGTAAAGCTGAAAGCAGTGATAGTGGAGCTGAGTCTGAGGACGAAGAGGCCCAAGAAGAAGTGAAAGGAGCAGAACAAAGTGATAATGGTAATCTTTGGATGGTGGGATAATAATTTTACATTAAATAAGATAAAAGGATATGGAGAGGCTTGGGCTGATTTGGCATTGTAGGAAGTGGTGGGATGTGGGTTGTTGACCCTATAACCAGGTTTTTGTGTTCCAAAGGGATACAGAAACAACCTGCCTTATCCATAGATGGAATAGATGTCCATTGGAAGCTAACAAGAATAGGCCATTCTTCCCAATATGATGCTGCTCTAGAAATATACTAGTGGCCTGGTGCATGAAATTCATGCATGAGGGAGGGGGCTTCCCTCAGGCTGGCCTGCACCCTCTCCAATCTGGGACCCCTTGGGGATATCTGACTGCCAATAGTTGTATATCCCTCTTGCAATCTGGGACTGCTGGCTCCTAATCACTCACCTGCTACCTGCCTGATCGCCCCTAACCACTACCTGCTGGCCTGCTCACCCCCAACTGCTCCCCCGAGCCAGCCTTCTTGCCCCCAACTGCTCCCCCCTTGCTGGTTTGATTGCCCCCAACTGCTCCCCGGCCCCCCCCCCAGCCTATTCACCTCCAACTGCCCCCCTGCCCCCCTGCCCGCCTCCCAACTCCCACCCTCTTCGCTGGCCTGATCACCCCCAATTGCCCTCCCCTCCTGGCCTGATGGCCCCTAATCACCTCTGCCTTGGCCTGGCCATCATAGCTTTGTTCAAAAGGATATCTGGAAGGTCTCCCAGAATATCTCCCGGACTAATTAGCAAATACCTTTTATAAAAAATATATATTCCATTGATTTTTTACAGAGAGGAAAGGAGAGGGAAAGAGAGCCAGAAACATCGATGAGAGAGAAACAGATGAGAGAGAAACATTGATCAGCTGTGTTCTGCACACCCCCCACTGGGGATGTGCCCACAACCAAGGCACACGCCCTTGCCTGGAATCGAACCTGGGACTCTTGAGTCCGCAGGCCAACGCTCTATTTACTGAGTCAAACAGATCAGGGTAGCATATTACCCTTTTATTAGTATAGATTTCTGTAGTGTATTGTTTCCAATATGAATATGCGTATGTTGTCAAGGCGACAACCATACTCTGAATATTTTGTCAAGAATAGCGTGGAATCAAGAGAATAGGATTCAAGTAGAAGGTTTTTTGTTTGTTTTTTAACCCAAGGATAAGTGTGTGGTTTTTACTGATTTTTTTTTTTTTTTTTTTCCCAAAAGAGGGGGAAGGAGAGAGAAGAGGGAAAGGAACATTGATGTATGAGCAAAACATCTATCAGTTGCCTCCTATACTTACCAGGTATTGATCCCACAATCAAACCAGGAATTGAACTGGTTACCTTTCAGTGCACTGGCTGACTTTCTAACCAACTGAGCCACATGGCTAGGGCCAGGTTGAAGTTTTGACAAAGAAGGAAGATTGGAATCATGGGGCCCTGAATTGGAGTGTCCTTATTAGAAAGAGTACCAGTGATTCTTGGGAAGACTGTTTTAGAAAGGGGGCAGAAAGATACTAAAACAAACTGCCTGGTTTAAGTTTGTCTTCTGATTCCATTAAAATAAGACAAGTAATACTTTCTTTGAAGGATCTCTTTATTTACTATATGTACCCCTTTGTACTGCTGGGTCTCAATAGAACATTTTGCTCATCCTGAGAGAGCGTGAAAACCTTGAGAGATTATCTTTCAAAGGAGGTCTGGGAAATTCACAGCGAACTGAAACAGTTTTGAAACCAATACAGTTTGTGTGAGTTGTCGGCATATAAAATACCCCTTTTCTAAAGTACCCCATCTCTCTGCTCCTAGTAGGAAACCCTTCAAAGGGATTTTGGGTAGGTTGATATCAGAACAGTGTATGCAGAAGTTGACCTAATGTGAACTTTTATGAATCTCTACATTTTCACATAAAAGATAAGAAAATGACAAAGAAGTCCACAGAGCATAAGAATTTGGAAATCATTGTTGCTAATGGCTACGATAAAGACAGCTTTGTTCAGGATGTACAGAATGATATCCATGCTAGTTCTTCTCTGAGTGGCAGAAGCACTGAAGAAATAAAAACTGTAGATCAAAACTTGGAGCAAACTGGAAAACCTGCTATCTGCATTCACCAAGGTATTCTTCCATATTTATTTGTTGAGTCTGTTTCCTATGAATAAGATATTCTTTTAATAATTTCAGGATATTTGGAGCAATTTAGAATTTAAAATCTCTTACTCAATAGTATAAAAGGGTTTATTTATATTATAAGGGTTTATATTTTTGAAAGACTGAATTAGGGCCAGGGTTTTTATGTTTTTCATTGAGATTTAAATTTGTTTTTATATAGCATTTTAAAATAAAATTTTGAAATTTTTTTCAATTGATTTGAGAGAGAGGAAGAAAGGGGGAGAGGGAGAGAGGGAGAGAGAGAGAAAGAGAGATAGAGAGGCACAGTGATGTGAGAGAGTAACATGAAACATTTCCTCCTATATACTCCCAAGTCGGGTATTGAACCCACAACCTGGGTATGTACCCTGACCAGGAATCAAACCCACAGCCTCTTGGTGTACGGGATGACACTTCAACCAAGCCACACTGACCAGAGCAAATTTTGAAGGTTTTTAAAAAATATATATTTTATTGATTTTTTACAGAAAGGAAGGGAGAGGGACAGAGAGCTAGAAACATTGATGAGAGAGGAATATCGACCAGGTGCCTCCTGCACACCACCTACTGGGGATGTGCCCGCAACCAATGTACATGCCCTTGACAGGAAACAAACCCGGGACCTCTCAGTCTGCAGGTCGACGCTCTATCCACTGAGCCAAACTGGTTTTGGCCAAATTTTGAAGTTTTTACTCTTATTCCTGATGTTTCTTTTAGCTTAAAACTCTTGATTATAGGATACCTTTATCCACTAATCAGCAAGGTAAGCTATATTCTTTTCATATTTTAGGGATGAGCCTATAATATATATATATATGGTGAATTATTAACATTATTGCAATTCAGCCAAGTAACCAAGAAATGTAATTTCTAAATGGTACAATCAAACTGGACAATAGTCATCTAACTTTAGCCTTCCTAGCTGCTATTCAGTTTTCTCTTATAAGGTTACTGAGTTCTATAAGGTTTGATCTGGACAGTATTTTTATATAATTCCATGGTAAAATACTTAGATATCTTTTCATATAAAAATTATCGAATCAACTTAATGTTTTGATAAGTTAAAAGAAAAAAAAAGTGTGGCTTGGTAAATCAAATTTGTCTCCCAGTATGAAAATAATATAGAGCTAATCAATTTTGAAAAAAAGGATAAATGCATTTTTTCTTCAGTTAGAGAATAATTATTCTATCTGGGCATTTTTTCATCTTTAGATATAAATGATGATCATGTTGAAGATGTTTCAGGAATTCAGCATTTGACAAGTGATTCAGACAGTGAAGTTTACTGTGATTCCATGGAACAACTTGGCCAGGAAGAGGTAAAAACGACATTAAAAAAATTCTTTATTGTTGAAAGTATTACCTATGTCCAACCCCCTCCCCCCCATTAACTCCCTACAGCCCATCCCTGCCCTCTGCCCCAGACCATCACCACCAATTATTAGTGAAAAATGACGTTTTTTGATTGGCAAGTTTTCAAAGTGGTATATCAGAGTTTAATTCATAACTTCTTTTTGTTTTTAAATATATACATACTAGAGGCCTGGTGCATGAAATTCATGCATGGGGGGGAGATGTCCCTCAGCCCAGCCTGTGCCCTCTCCAATCTGGGACCCCTCAAGGGATCTCCGACTGCCCATTTAGGCCTGATCCCGGTACCTGGATCGGACCTAAAGGGGAAGTCAGACATCCCTCTCACAATCCAGGACTGCTGGCTCTCAACTGCTCACTTTCCTGCCTTCCTGATTGCCCCTAACTGCTTTTGCCTGCCAGCCTGATCCCCCCCCTAACCATTCTCATGCCAGCCTGATTGATGCCTAACTGCTCCCCTGCCAGCCTGTTTGCCCCTAACTGCCCTCCCCTGCTGGCCTGGTCACCCCTAACTGCCCTCCCCTGAAGGCTTGATCGCCCCAACTGTCCTCCCTTGCAGACCTGGTCCCCCCCAACTGCTTTCCCCTGCAGGCCTGGGTCCCCCAACTGCCCTTCCCTGCAGACCCAGTAGCCCCCAACTTCCCTCCTCTGCCGGCCTGGTCACCCCTAACTGCCCTCCCCTGCTGGCCTGATCCCTCCCAACTGCCCTCCCTGCTGGCCATTTTGTGGTGGCCATCATGTGTTCATATGGGGCAGCCATTTTTGACCACATGGGGCAGCCATTTTGTGTGTTGGAGTGACGGTCAATTTGCATATTAGTCTTTTATTAGATAGGCTAAAATTTCATAGAGGAAGGGAGAGGGAGAGAGAGATAGAAACATTAAAGATGAGCCAAAACCGGTTTGGCTCAGTGGTAGAGCATCGGTCTGCGGACTGAAAGGTCCCAGGTTTGATTCTGGTCAAGGGCATGTACATTGGTTGCGGGAACAACCCCAGTAGGGGGCGTGCAAGAGGCAGCTGGTCGATGTTTCTCTCTCATCGATGTTTCTAACTCTTTCTCCCTCTCCCTTCCTTTCTGTAAAAAAATCAATAAAATATGTTAAAATATAAGAAAAACAAAAAAGAAACATTAAAGATGAGAGAGAATCATAGATTGGCTGCCTTCTGCATGCCCTACACTGGGGATTGAGCCCCCAGCCTAGATATGTTCCTTGACTGGAATCAAACAGTGACCTCCTGATTCATGGGTTGATGCTCAGCCACTGAGCCATCCCAGGCAGGCTTGATGTGTAACTTCTGTTACTATCAGATGTACATGTTGTTCATCACTTTGAAAACTTACCTCTAAAGTTATTAAACATTTATTTTAAAATTTCTTTTATGAATTAGAAAGAATATTCACTTCCTGATTATTCAAAATAATTTAGTTATTATGGTTTATAATATTTGTAAATATTCTGAGAGAGGTAGGATGGGTAGGCTGATAATAAACTTATGCTAGTCCCTATGTTTAAAACATTGATTAACATTTAAGAAAATTAAATAATTTTGAAACAAATCTGTACTTCACATTGACTTTAATATGTTGAACTGAAAGTTTGAGTTGAAATTTTTTTCAAATTTTAGTTAATTAAGATTCAGTATTGGAAGCTCACATTTGAAAAAAAAATATTAAAACTGTATGAATTAAAACAATTTTTAAACATTTATTTGAAAGAGAGAAACATTGATTTGTTATTCCACTTATTTATGCATTCATTGGTTGATTCTTGTATGTGCCCTAACTGTGGATGCAGTCTTGGCCTATCAGGACAATGTTCCAACCAATTGAGCTACCTGGCCAGAGTAAAACTCCATGTTTGTTTGTTTTTTTATCCTCTTTGACAATTTTTTCTGTTAATGACTAGTGGTTTTGACAGCTGTATTTATGTTTGGTGGTTTTGAATCCTACCATTTCCCATCTCACTTGAATATCATTAAACAATATTAAGTATTTTGTCCTTGAAAATACTTCTTTGGTTTCCATTACACCATTTTAAAGAGCTTCTTTTTATACTTCTTAGTTCCTTTGTAACCTTCCTCTGTGAGTTTTTCTTCCTCTTGTTGACCTCTTAAATATGGCGTTCTTCAAGCCATATTTATTTCTACCTTGGTTTTAAACATCAATGACATGCTAATTACTCTCAAAGTGATACCTTCAAACTGTGTTTCTCTTCTGAATTCTTACTGCCCTATTAGACATCTTGCTTGCGAATCTCAATTTTTTTACTTATCTATAACTTTACCATTGTCTCTTTTGTCCCCTAAAGCTTCTTAGCCTCTATATTTCTTTTGGTGAGTTTCACATCTAGTCTTTTCCTTTCCCTTACTCCCCACATTCAGTCTTCAAGTCCTATAGATTCTGTAATCTCAAAAGTTCTCAAATCATCCTCTATCCCACTACTATGATATTGGTACACGCCGTCATCATTACCACACTTTGAAATTGGCTTATACACATCTGTTCTGCAAGTTTTGTAGTTGTTTAAACAAAAGAAATTTATTATCTCATAGTTCTAGAACTTTAGGGAGACTAAAAATCTGAAATCAAGTTATCAGCAGAGCTGTGCTCCTCTGAAGGCTCCAGGGGACAATCTGTTCCTTGCTTCATCCAGCTCTCCTGGCCCCAAGGGCTCCTTGACTTGTGACTTCATCACCCCAATCTCTACCTCCGTCTTTACATGGCACCTCTTTCCTATGCTGTTCTTCAAGTTTTAGTTCATATCATTTCTTCCAGAAACGCTGTCCTGACCAAGCCCAGTATGTGCTCCTATAGCATCCTTTGTGTATCTTTTTCATTATACTTATCAAACTATGTCAAATCTCTCTTCTGCTAAGACTAGAAGCCTCTTGAAGTGATTCTCTTTTTTCATATTTATCCTTAAAGTTTAGCATAGTAACTAGGCTAAAGTAGACATTTAGGTGTTTCTTTGATGAATAAGTGACTCATGAGAACAATTGATTGCTGTAATTTCTCAATTCTTTGTTCATGGATGATTCATTTCCCATTTTTTTTTCTACATATAGGAGGCAGAATATGAATTAAAGAATTTTAAATAAAAATACTTTTATTATAACATAAAAATATTTTATAATAACAGTAATCCATCAATAAGAAAACTTTGTGGTGTATAATTTGTAGCTTTTAATTAAGTCTTGTTTTAAATTTGTAGTCTTTAGATAGCTTTACATCAAACAATGGACCATATCGATATTACTTGGGTGGTGATCCCAATAAGCCCTTGGAAAATTCTGGTTTTCCTGAAGATGTTCAAATTTCTCCTGGAAATGGCAATATTGGGGAGATGCAGGTGGCAGCAGTTGAAGGAAAAGGTGAAGTAAAGCATGGAGGAGAAGATGGAAGAGGTAACAGTGGTGCGCCACACCCTGAGAAACGGGGTGGAGAAAATGAGGAATTCTCTAATGTCAGAAGAGGGAGAGGTGTGTATTCTTTATTTCTCTCTTTCTTTTATTTTTTTCTGACTTTATAACCTAATTAGCAAAATAATAGGTTCTAGATTGGAAAAACATTACAACTATCAATTTACAAAGGAAATGTTAAAAGTTCTCTGTACATAACATCTGTCCATTTTTTTAAATTTCTAGTTTTCCTTTTATTCCACAAGGCATAGTGGTGTGTTTTCTCTAAAAATATGGAGAGGGGGCATTTCTATATTTATATTTTTTTATGAAATTTTTTGAGGCAGCCAACTTTCATCCCCTGAGTAATCACTTAGCAGTTCCCCCAACTGTGCTAATGCTTATTTTACTTACTTTTGATAATAATTAAAATTCTGGTCTTTTTTACATTTATTTACTTAAATTAAAAGATATCATTTAACTGACAGCTCAGATACATAAAATGTTACAACAGAGATAAAAGAATAACAATAAAAAAGCATTAAAAATAGTAATGTGATGAGGTAATAGAGTTGAATGGGGAAGAGAAGTAAATACTTTATAATTGCTCATAGTAAGGAATGAGTAGGTATTGTCACAAAAAAGAATTAATGGAAAGACAAATGCTTATTATCTCACTTACGTGTAACCTGAAAAACCAACAAACAAAAACAAGCTCATAAATACAGAGAACAGTTGCAGATTGGTGATTCCCAGAGGCGGAAAGAGGGCAAAATAGGTAAAAGTGGTCGAAAGGTACAAACTTTTAGTTATAAAATAAGTCATGGAGATGTAATATACACATTACTACAGTTAAATGATTCTGTATTATATATTTGAAAATTACTAATTTAATAGATCTTAAAAGTTCTTATCACAAGAAAACAAATCTGTAACTATGTATGGTGATGGATGTTAACTAGACTTATTGTGGTGATAATTTCACAGTATATATAAATATTAAATTATTATGTTGTACCTAAAATAAAAGGAAAATCCCTATATAATTTTATGAGGTCATAACACGTTCAAGGATTATCTGTGAATTTGGTTGAAAAAAATGTACATAAAACAATTTAAGACATGGTTTTGTGAATACTGCTGTTTTAGGGTACCAGGATGTTGAAGGGCAATGAGGTAGGTAGTTGCTGGTTTGTTGTGGAAAACAAAACAAGCAAAACTTACCTACTATATTAGCAAATATAAAAACTTAAAGTATTTAATTTCTGCAAAGGTAGGGTAGCATGGTGGTACCTTTTATATATTGCAGTACAGAACTGTCTCAGCCTTTCTAAAAAATAGCTTGGCAACACTCACGAGGAAACTCCACAGGGTTGTTAACCCTTGACCCAGTAATTCTTCTTGGAATCTTTCTGTCCTAAAAACCAAAAAAACAAAAACCAACAGTAGAAATATTTAGTAGACAAGAATTTAAATACAAAGACATTTATTTCAATGTTATTTGTAATTTCAAAAATTTGAATTGATCCTAATTATCCAAAAGTGTATAGTAAGATTGAATAAATTCATGTCTTACTAGGGAATTTATGCAGCCATTTCAGTGTTTTTGGAATAAAGTTCAACAATGATAAATGTTTATAGTATTTTAAAGTAGGATACAAAATCATGTAAAGGGGTAATACCAATTCTGTAAATATATAAAAAGAATAAATGATATATAATAACATTTTTAAAGTAATGAGATTTTAATATTTTATAAATATAATGGAATTTATAATAAAAGCATTTTATTTTTATTAGTTTTTAAACTTTTGCTTTTATTTATTATTACTATTATTATCATTATTTCTTTTAGAGAGGAGGGAGATGGAGAGAGAGATGGAAACATCAATGAGTGTCACTGATCGGTTGCTTTTGCATAGCCCCTGTTGGGGATCAAGCACGCAACCCTGGGTATGTGCCCTTGACTGGAATTGAACCCAGAGCGCTTTAGTCTGCAGGACGATGCTCTATCCGCTGAGCCAAACCAGTGAGGACCAAAAAAAGCATTTTAAATTACTTGAGAGACTTACAGTGACCAGTAAAGAAAATATAATTATTTAATACAATATTAATACTCTAAAGAAAGTCTTTAAATATTTTCAATCTTGTTACTTTTAGTAAAGAATTTTTGAGAATGCACCCTGAATATGTATATATCATTTGTGCATTATATGCATTTTGTCATGTGCTAATATATTAAGTACATTATAAAACCTTATATAAAAATCTAAGAATATATCAATATAAATAGAAGTGTGTATATCTATCCTTTGACCCCAGTAATTTATTTTGTTTGTGTAGTTTCTGATTGCTCCCACTCCACTTAGGAAAGTTAGATATTAAATAATAGGAAAATGAATAAAACACACCATTTCTACTTTTATAGAAATAAAACTAACTTCTTTGCTCTCTTAAAATAGGACATAGGATGCAACATTTGAGCGAAGGAACCAAGGGTCGGCAAATGGGAAGTGGAGGTGATGGAGAACGCTGGGGTTCAGATAGAGGAACAAGAGGGAGCCTCAATGAGCAGATTGCTCTTGTGCTCATGCGGCTGCAGGAGGACATGCAGAATGTCCTTCAGAGACTTCATAAACTGGAAACACTAACAGCTTCACAGGTAAGCTTCCAAATTTATCTTCTACTTGTTGATCTTTTGAAACTTTATAATCTAGATTGATTGGATTTACAGAAATTACTGTATTTTAATGATTGAAAAATAAACAAATAGGATCTACTTTTGAAAAAATTACTTCAAACTGCCCAGAAGCTAAATGCCAGTTAAAATAATAGTAAAATTTTAGTGTAAAATTAGAGAAAGGATAGATTGCTTGGTAGTAGAAGAATAAGAACTTTAAAAAATAGTTTAACTAATAAATAGATCATACCTAATGCCCTAAAGTTAATCATTAAAGAGTTATTCTTTTGTAGTAAGCATTGTCCTCTATCTTGATCTCTTTTAAAAATGCTGTAGAGCCCTGACTGGTGTGGCTTAGTGGTTGAGCATTGACCTATGAACCAGGAGGTCACGGTTCAATTTCTAGTCAGGAGACTTACCTGGGTTATGGGCTCAATTCCTGATCCCTGGCAGGGGGTGTGCAGGAAGCAGCCCATCAATGTTCCCATCTAACATTGATGTTTTGCTCTCTCTTCCTCTCCTTTCCTCTCTAAAAATAGGATGAACCTCGGTATAACCAAAAAACCGAAGATTTATTTCATATTTCTTTGCCTTTTTGGTACTCTACAATTTCATCATACCAATTTCATTATATGTGACAGCCGAAATGCAGAAATTTCTTGGATTATTTTTTATTGGTTGGGATCTTGATAAGAATAAGATCAGCTGGGACCGGTTTGGCTCAATGGATAGAGCGTTGGCTTGGGGACTGAAGGGTCCCGGGTTCGATTCTGGTCAAGGGCATGTACCTTGGTTGTGGGCATATCCCCGGTAGGGGATGTGCAGGAGGCAGCTGATCGATGACTCTCTCATCGATGTTTCTAACTCTCTATCTCTCTCCCTTTCTCTCTGTATAAAATCAATAAAATATTAAAAAAAAATAAGATCAGAATGAATGAAGAGCTTGGACAGGTGGAGCATGTGTTTACAGATAAAACTGGCACACTGATAAAAAACGAAATGCAGTTTCAGGAATGTTCAATTAATGGCATAAAATGAAATCAATAAAGATATGTTAAAAAATTATTGTATTTTTCTTATTTATCAAAGCTAAATTATTTTCATTTGTATTTATAGGCAAAATCATCAACATTACAGACTAGTAATCTGTCTCCCTCACAGGTAAGAAATCTTTTTTAAATCTAAGAACCAGGGTTTCAAGTAAGTTACAGTTAATTTCGATTATACAGGCGTTTAAAGAATTCCCGAGGAGGTTTAAAAATCTATTTTTTCCCCATATTTGTTTTCTAAATTTAAGAAAACGGCTTCTGATGAGAAATAAAGTAATCATGAATGGGAATCACCAAAAAAAAAAAAAAAAAAAAAAGAATTTCAGAGGAAGTCTACCCTTTAAGACTTTGAAATTAAATGTATATCTTTATTTTGTGTTTATTTAAGTCTGAACTACTCCTGAAAGTGTATTTACCAAATTATTGTCTAAAGTACAGATTTCCCCCCTCTTTTTATCAGGAGATTTATTAGTAGTTATATATTTTCAGAATTATGAATTATTTTTAAGTTTATACATACAATATGTAATAGATTGCTGACCAGCTTATTTTATTTTGTTAGAGATCATCGTGGTGGCCCTTCGAGATGTCTCCTGGTGCATTAACCTTTGCTATCATATGGCCTTTTATTGCCCAGTGGTTGGTGCATTTATATTATCAAAGAAGGAGAAGGTAATATTATAGTTTTATAATTCAAAGTGGTGCGTAAACTCTTAAAATAGAAGGGCCTTTAGCTGCAGTTAAAAGGATAGCCCATTTCATAGATATATTGTCATACTCAATATTGTATTGGTCCCGAGATTGAAATTATTTTGATAGTGATACCTGGTGGGTTTCTAGGTACTTGTTGGACTTAAACCTTTTTTCATTTGAGAGCATCTGGTGGATTTGTGCACCTTTGATTTAAACAACAATAAGAAAATGATTATAGGCTTACTTTTATGGCTTATGAAGAAACAATGTTCTTGAAGTCTGTTCTTTATTTTGGGCCGATGAGAGAGTCATCGATCAGCTGCCTCTTGCACATCCCCTTGCTAATAAAAAGGACAATGGAGCCTTGGCCAGTTTTGCTGAGGGTTAGAGTGGCAGCCCTCGGACCAGTAAAAGGCACATACCTGGGTTGCAGGTTCGATTACTGCCCCATTCAGGGCAGGTGTAGGAAGCAGCCAAACAAGGTGTCTCTCACATCGATGTTTCTCTCTCCTTCCACCCCTCCTTTCTACTCTCCCTAAAAATCAATGGGAAAAATATCCTCAGGTGAGGATTAAAGAAAAACAACAGATAGGTTAAAAAAAAAAAAAAAGAGGAAGAAGAAGAAAAAGCCTGCATGCTCCTGCATGCTCTCACCAATATAGATATAGACATTTGAAATATAGATATAGACATTTCAGAAAATGCTCAGTTTGTAGTTAAACATTCTCTAGAAATAGGGATTATTATTATTTGAGGGTCAGGAATTCCAGTTTGCGATGCTAGGAGGTAACTCAGATAAGTCTGAGAATAATAGGTTGAAATCTTTGAAAATGCTCTGAGATTATCTAGATTAGAAATATTTGAGGCGCCGAAACCGGTTTGGCTCAGTGGATGGAGCATCAGCCTGCAGACTGAAGGGTCCTGAGTTCGATTCCAGTCAAGGGCATGTACCTTGGTTGTGGGCACATCCCCAGTGGGGGGCTTGCAATAGGCAGCTGATCGATGACTCTCTCTCATCGATGTTTCTAACTCTCTCCCTTCCTCTCTGTGAAAAATCAATAAAATATATTAAAAAAATATATATTTGAGGCCAAAACTGTTGGGTTCAAGAAAATCCTTGAAGCACTTTTTGGGCACTATATAAACTGAATTACTTTCCATGGATGGGCCTATAGAAAATTGCTGACCCCACTGCTGGCCTCACTGATTATGTTTTTTTTTATTTTGTCACCATTTCCCATTAAGTGACCAAGAGAAATAGGGAACTTAATAATACAATTTTGAATGCAGTAGAAATACATTTTAAAACATACAGGTTTACATAATAATGGGTGAGTTACTCTACCAAAGAACCCAAGTTTCTTATTATTACATTTGATAACAAAAGCAAAAGCCAAACATTTGCCCTTCTCTGATGGATTATCAGAAACTAGTGTAAATGCTCCAATTACCCTACCTAATAAAAGAGTAATATGGTACAACCAGTGGACACAAAACTCTGGGGAGAGAGGGTACATATGGGATGGGAAGGGCAATGGTAAGATATGTGCACAGATAATAATTTAATAAAAAAAATAAAAATAAATAAAATAAAAGTAATATGCAAACTAACCATCACTCTGCTCCATAAGCCACACCCACAAGCTATGCCTACTAGCCAATCAGAGCAAGTATGCAAATAAACCCAACCAAGGTGGCTACAGCCACAGAGAGCAGGAGGGAGGCGTTTCCCAGGCAACGGAGGAAGCCAAGCTTTTCGGGAGCCCTTGTTGGCCTAAGCCTTCACTCAAGGCTACAAAGTTTCAATTATGGAAAGTTAACAAATTCAAACAGAAATGGCTGCCAGCCATAGAGCAAGCAGGAGGCTTGGCTCTGCTCCAGGCTACAAAGTTTCAATTGTAGAAGATAAATAAATTCCAGATACCAGGGCCTCTGGTTGGGTTGCGCGGCGGCGGCGAAGTGGGGGGGAAGGGGCGTGGCCACCCTGCAAACCACCACAGGCCCCTCACTCAGGCTGCCCCGTGCCCCATGGGAACCCCCACCCTGATCTAGGACACTCTTCAGGGTTAACCAGCTGGCCCCCTCCTGTGCACCAGGCCTCTATCCTGTCTAATAAAAGAGTAATATGCAAATTGACCATCACTCCAACACACAAGCTGGCTGCCCCCATGTCGTCAAAGATCCTGCCCCCATATGGACACAAGATGGCCACCACAAGATGGCCAGCAGGGGAGGGTAGTTGGGAGGCACAGGTCGGCAAAGGAGGGCAGTTGAGAGGGACTAGGCCTCAGGGGAGGGCAGTTGAAGGTGATCAACCCTGCAGGAGAGGGCAGTTAGGGGTGACCAGGCTGCAGAGGAGGGAAGTTGGGGGCAAATGGGCTGGCAGGAGAGCAGTTAAACATCAATCAGGCTGGCATGGGAGTGATTAAGGGGTGATCAGGCTGGCAGGCAGAAGCGGTTAGGGGCAATCAGGAAGGCAGGCAGGCGAGCAATTGGGAGCCAGCAGTCCTGGATTGTGAGAGGGATGTCCAACAGCCAGTTTAGGCAGGGATCAAATCTGAACTGGCAGTCGGACATCCCTCGAGGGGTCCCAGATTGGAGAGGATGCAGGCTGGGCTGAGGAACACCCTTCCCCCACCCCGTGCATGAATTTCGTGTACTGATTCTCTATTTCTAATATAGTAAAAGGTTAATATACAAATAGAGTGGTGGAACAACCCAACAACCATTTGCCATAACGTGTGCTCACCACCAGGGGGTATGCGTGGAACATGGCTGGCGTTGGCTATAGTGGGATGGTGAAGCAAGTGAGTGGGGCCGTCAGACCAAGGCAGAGTGCTGGCCACTGTCATTAGGGCGAGCCTCTGGTTATTGAAGTTTCTTTGCTCTCACACACCGCGGTCCCACCTGGCACTTGCGCCTGCTGGTGGTGCTGGCCCTGCTTGCACCCACTCCTGGTGCTGGAGCCACTGCTCATACCTACTTCTTCCACCCGAGGCTGGCCCTGATCACTTGATACAGTCGGGGTGCAAGCAGTGGCTACTGGTCCCAATCACCCCTCATGGCTAGCTTCTCTACTTCCCCCTGCTCCTGAAAGATCGGGGCCAGCAGCTGCCTCTTATACCCAGTGATGGCCCTGCTCGCACCTGCTGCTGGTGCTGGAGCCACTCGTCTCACCCACTGCTGGTGCCCAGTGCTAGTCCTCATTGCTTGGCACCATCAGCGGGTGCTAGTGGTGGCTGTAGGCCCTGATTGCCCCTAAACCTTCTCCACCTCCCTCTGCTCCTGAGGGGTGATTGGGGCAGCAGCTGCTGCTCATACCCACTGATGGTGCCGGCCCCACTTGAACCTGCTCTGGCACTGGCCCCAATTGCTCCATGCCTTCAGCAGGTGCAAGCAGGGCTGGTGCCATCAGCGCATGGGAGCAGCAGTGGCAGGAGCAAGGCTGCTGGCAAACGGGAAAGTGGGTCTCGGTAGGAGGAGACAGACGGGGACATGGAGGATGGTCTGAGACCCGCCCCTGTGCCCACCACAACTCATAGCCCACAGTTCCTTTCAAGGTGCACGAATTCATGCACTGGGCCCCTAGTTTGTGTATTTAAATACTAGAGGCCTGATTCACGAAATTCATGCAAGAGTAGGCTTTCCTTCCCCTGGCTGCTGGCACAGACTTCCTTCTGGCACCTGGGCCAGCACATATCTGGGTCGCGGGCTTCCCTCACAGCTCCAGCTTCATTCGGAAGGTTGCTTCAGAAGGATGCCTGGTCTAATTAGCAGATTACACTTTTATTATTATAGATATTTTATTGATTTCAGAGAGGAAGGATAGAGAAATAGAAACATCAGTGATGGGAGAGAATCACTGATTAGCTCCCTCCTGCATATCCACAATCTGGGCATGTGCCCTTGATTGGAATCGAACCTGGGATCCTTCAGTTCACAGTCTGGTGCTATATCTGCTGAGCCAAACCGGCTAGGGCTCCAGTTATATTTTATTGTAGAGAAACTGAAATGCATGTGACATTAGGTGAATTGTTTTAGTCTTTTTTCTCTGCTTTATGTTCACAAATGAACCAAATATGTTTGATATACCTGCCCACTTGAAAAACTTTAGTAAGATTTCAGAAGCATAATTTGCTTTCCCAGTATTTACTCCCTTACTACTCCTCTTGTGTATGAGTCATTTTGGTTGTTAAGATATAGATCTTACTTTAAATCTTTTCTTCTTTCATACGTTTTACATTTCTCCTACAGTGGTTGGCTTTAGTGCTAAAATTCTGATTTCCCTGATAATAGAAAGAAAAAAGAACCAGACTTTTTTAACAGGTAGTAATTTAAGCTGCAGGTTACAGTGGCACTAAAGCGAGGTGTTTATATAGTTTGCAATGCATTTCAAAGTTCCCTTTCATGTTTCCTATGTAGAAAGTCAGAGTTGGAGGGTAGATAAATTTGGCATAAGACAAAAAACTTACTTTGCTTAATAATTCATGACTAAGATTAAGGCATCTTGTCACTTTATTAAAGGCTGAAAAAGCAAACTATACATTGTTTTAGCAATCACCCAAAATAGCAGTTTGTCTAAAATTACATTTAAAAAAATATTCTTTACCAGTAAACATACACCATATCTCCTAAATATCCCTTTTAGTTATTTACAGATGTCTCTGAATGAAGAAATTCTTCCCTATTTTTAATTTTCTACTTTGTTATTATTGAATCTTTATTAAATTTTCTGTTGTATGTTAGGTGTTTAATTCTTCCAATTTGCAAGTTATATAGCATTGCATGACTGCGTTTGGATGAAATATGGTGTTTTTATGTATTATTTGCTTATATATGTAATAAATTAACTGGTTAGAGATAGAGCCATGTTTGATTTTGAAATAAATTTTTGCTTTAGGGGGATTTAGGCAAGGTTTAATCTGGCAGGGTTTAACAATATTTAATATAACGTTTCAGAAATAAAGATTAGAGAGAGT